ATTCCAGGCTGTGAGGCTATAATTACCTTATGTTTTTGTGGCACTTTACTTGGCTGGGTTGAAGCCTTTCATTTACTAGAACGAAAGATCCTAAGTAGTTGCAAGGGCTCTCCTCAAAGAAATTATTACCTGGTTTTGGCTTTCACAGTCTTCACAAGTAATAATGGGTCCATGTTTACCTGTATAAACTATACCTCATTTAAGTGGCAAACTCTTTAGGGATAAAATACATTACCTTCTCCTAGGCCCACCTTCCTGGAAGTTTGTTAATGAGAAAGCCTTTAAAGGGACCCGAGGCAAAGTGATGCAGGAACCTTCTTACCATGTTTGAATGCTCTGGCTACTTCTCCGATCTGAACGCCCGAAATTAGCTCTTGATGCCTTATTTCCTTTTGGAATTCATGTGAGAGACCCTTCTACATGAACGTAATGTACCCCAGTGGTTACAATCTAAGATCTGACTTAATTTCACCCACGGGCCTCAGGAAGTTTGGGAATAAATGGAATGGCTGATGCGTTGTTGACTCCTGTAAAACCAAACCCCTTTATAATAGGCAGGGTCACATGTCCCTCTTAAACTCCTGTGAGAGATGGGTCTCTGAGATCTCAAACTAAACCTGTTACCAAATATAAGCTTTATAATCATAACTTTGATACCCAATAGTATCAAAGTTCCTGGCCATCCCTGGTTGTAAACATCACTTTTGAATAAACCCTGGAAGATTTTTTTTTTTTTTTTTTGAGATGGAATTATACTCTGTTGCCTTTAGGTGGAGTTGGCGTGAGGCTGGAGTGCAGTGGCACAATCAGCTCACTGCAACCTCCACCTCCCGTGTTCAAGTGATTCTCCTGCCTCAGCCTCTTGAGTAGCTGGGATTACAGGCACACACCACCAGGCCCGGCTACTTTTTGTATTTTTAGTAGAGATGGGGTTTCACCATGTTGGTCAGGCTGGTCTCAAACTCCTGACCTCCTGATCTGCCCACCTCAGGCTCCCAAAGTGTTGGGATTACACATGTGAGCCACCACACCTGGCCAACAAGACTTTAAGGAACCAACACTCAGCTACTACTGTGAGCCACTAGAGGATTTAAAATTTCTCTTTAAAAGAGAGGATAAGTAATGCTCCCACTCCTTTACCTCACAGTAGGGTAGTCCCAATATTGGCAATCTTATTTTCAAAGATACTGTTTATTCTTACTTTAACCCTAACTTGTGCACTGCCCAAAGTTTCAGTAAGAGCTATCTTTAGTATGATTTTTTTTAGCCTAATGATTTGGTTATTTTACTTTTGACTGCATTAGTTCATCAGCAATTGTTAGTAATATTTTGGCCTTTATATTGCAAGTTGTAATACTCTATGCAGACTTACTAATAGGCCTTTATTACTGTAAACCATCACGCTCTCCAGGGAAGTGTTTGCTATGCCCCTTCTAGATTTAAACTTCAAAGTCATAATCTGAGTATTGATCTCTCTCTCTAATACTCATTGTGTTCACAGTATCTCTTAATCAGCAAGCTTCTCACTTTGGCCCTAATCTACTTTCCTTGGAACCATGCAACCTAATTCTCTATAGTCATCAATCTTACTTCTGGCTAAAATCACCTTCATGTGCACTAACTGTCAACAGTCTTTTTTTTAGCACTCTATAGGCAGCTCCACAACTGCTAAAGTCTGCCAGTTCTTCCTATGTCTCAACATGTTAGCTACGCATGAATTCCTCTTCATTCATGGTAGGAATGTCCTACTTGGTCATAATACAAGAATGGCCAACTCCTTAGTCCCAACATGGCTTCAACTACGATCGAGACCTCACTATACAAAAGCTTCCCCCTACTAATGTACTGTTTCTAACACAAACTAAAGTGGCTTTAAAGATTTTATTCCACAGCCTTAAGCCCCTTGTTCTCCCCTGTTACCCTTATTGAACTGACACCTCTATACATCTATGATACCATAAATTCCAGAACCCTTGTGGGTGAACTTGACTGAGCACAATGTAACACAAACAGCACCATTATTGATACCTCTCAAACTTTTTTTTTTTTAACCAAATGAGATTCTCTGGGCCCTTCAAATATTTTAACTCCTGGACTATTCATCCAAAATGATGCCACTGAATTCTGCTTCAGTCACCCTTCTTGCAGTCAATCTAACTCATGGTATTGACCAAGCTGGTATAGATTATGCAATAGGTTTCAACTCTGTAATTCCTTCCAGAAAACTCTTCTTCTTGATGCTCCTTGAGCAGTTCATCTAATTTCTTTCTGCAATGAGCTTGGTACCACAAGTGCTACCACAGAAATAGCTGGCATTATTATTGCCTCCTCAACTTACCAACACCTGTCTCTGGAACTGACTCACAAAATAGAAACCGCGCTCCGCTTCTCCTTGATACTATTAGACACATGCTCTTGTGAGAAAATAGGACCCATTGTCCTATTCAAACTAATCACCCATGTCTAGCTCCCTGATAGCAGCAACTTTATTGGCAAAATATCATATATTGGGTAGCCAACAAAGCACACTGGTCAATGTTTGGATCTGACCTTACCTCCTACATTCATTCTTGGTTTTGTGTTTGTTTTTGTTTTTTTGAGATGGCGTCTCACTCTGTTGCCCAGCCTGGAGTGCAGTGGCGCGGTCTCGGCTCCCTGCAAGCTCCACCTCCCAGGTTGATGCCATTCAACTGCCTCAGCCTACTGAGTAGCTGGGATTACAGGTGCTCAGCTAATTTTTTGTATTTTTAGTAGAAACGGCATTTCACTGTGTTAGCCAGGATGGTCTCAATCTCCTGACCTCGTGATCCGCCTGCCTCGGCCTCCCAAAGTGCTGGGATTACAGGCGTGAGCCACTGCACCTCGCCTCATTCTTGTTTCTCAACTGCAGAACTTTAATTCCTCTGGGAAATGCAAGTTTATCTCTGCCTCCCGGCAAACTGAACCAGAACATACATTCTGGCTTACCTCACCCTTTAAGTTTCCATTGTCCCAGGTGATGCTCCTCTGCTATTACCCTTATTTACCACACCATTTAACACTTATTTACTCAACACCAGATTGACTGAGCAGTTCATCTAATTTCTTTCTGCAATGAGCTTGGCATCACAAGTGCCACCACAGAAATAACTGGCATTATTATTGCCTCCTCAACTTACCACCACCTGTCTCTGGAACTGACTCACAAAATAGAAACCACTGCTCCAACTCTGAGTCACAGCAACAAGTTCTCTCATGGTTGTAGTTCTCCAAAGTTGTAGAGGTCTTGACATACCAGCTGTAGCTCACAGAGGAATTTGCCTTATTCTAGGAGAAAAATGCTGTTTCTGGGTTAACAGAATAGGGAAAGGCCAGAATTAAGTTAGAGATTTTATAAACTAAGCCATCCTAAACATGCCACTGAGAGCTAGTTCTCCTAGGATGCCAACTGGTTCCAATTCTCATGACATCTCATTTTCTTGGGATCTCTGGCCTTGTTCTTATCTGTTTGTTTGTTTGTTTGTTTTTCCCCCATCCTTTTTGGGCCTTGTTCACTAAATCTAGTAACCAGGTTTGTTTTCTCTCACCTCAGACTACAAGCAGTCCTGCAACAGGAACACTGATCTATCTTCTTCCCTTCTGGACAACCATGTTCCTCCACATTTCCTCTGGACACTGCAAGTTGAACCTTCTGGGGAAACATAGAAGGTATCTTTCCCTGAAAGGGAGCAAGAGAATGAGACACTGATGAGTTCTTTGTCTCATATCAGCAGGAAGTAGTTACAGAAGACCCACAGTGCCCCTAGACTTGAAGATTTTTAGTCGCAATCTATTGAGAAGCGAATGTTAGAGTAGGCCGATAGTTAGAAATGACCAGAATAAACAGCCCCTTAAGACCGATGAGGAAATTTTTTTTTTTAAGTGCAAGATAATAAAAACTGCAACATGGAACTCTCAGGGCAGTTTTCAATTGGGCCAGCCCACTCCTCTTGGAGTGTACTTTATTTTCCTTTAATAAACTCTGCTTGTTTCACTAAATTACCTCTTGGCTAAATTATTTCTCTCAAGAAGACAAAAATTAAGGACCTTGCACTTCTTGGTAACACGTTCCTCCTCCCCCAGCTCTTGACAAACACCATTCTACTTTCTGTTTTTATGAGTGGACTACTAAAAATATCTCACATAAATGAAATTATATACTCCCTGTTACTTTGTTTTTTTGCGTATTTCTCTTTACTTAATGTTGTAAAGATTTACTCCTTTTTGGAAGATATGCAGTCTCCCTGTGTTGTCCAGGTTGATCTTGAACTGTTTGCCTCAAGAGATTCTCTCTCTTTTATTTTACCTCCCCAATTATGTGGATTACAGGCATGAGTCATCACACCTAGCCCTCAAGGTTTATCTTTATAATAGTGTGTGACTTAATTTCATTTTATAAAATAGAATTATTTCCCATTGCATGTATATTCCATTTTACAAATCCATTTATATGTCAAGGGTTATATAAGTAGCTTCCAACTTTTGGTTTTAGAATAATACTGTTTATGAACATGGGTGTGCAAATGTCATTTGTAGTTCCTGCTATGCATACATAAATAGGTAAGTAATGTTTTGTATGTTGTGCAAAGGAAAGGTCTAAGTTAATTTTTGAAAGTTTCAATATTGAGTTTTTTAATACCTTGTGTTGGAGAGTCAGCCCTTTCCCCATTGTTTGGTCATGATAACAGTCATGCAACTTCAAGATGAAGCTGCTGCTGCTTCCATTTCTGTAGCATCCGGTCATGAATGTATTTAGATCTCCCCCTGGCAACCCTGGTTAGAGTGTGGAGATGGTGGAAACCATTGGATCTTCTGACTTCCTTGCCTAGGAAGCAGCCAGTCCTGCCTGCCCTACCACCCATGACATCATGCATGTAGTGGTCCTGTCACCCCTCCTCTCAGCCAGCCACTGCCTCTGGCTCCCTCAAAACACCTCGTTCTTATACTCAAGGTTGGGCACATGGATCCTTAGAGGCACAGGAACAGCACAGATCCTTATATCCTGCACAGGTGAAATAAGAAGGTGTGGAGGCTGGAAGCAAAGCTATCTGCCTCCTGGAGAACAGGACCTTCAGGGACCAGGGAGCTGCAGGCACAGATTACAAAGTGACAGATGCAAGGGCCCTGATGAGAGTGGTGGTGGCCTGAGGGCTCCTTTTTTGGCATGCACCAGTGTGCCAGAGGCTGGGGCCTACACTGGGGCCTGCAGTTGCCCTCCAAAACTCCAGAACCAGTGCTCCTGCTGTCCCACCCCATGTGCCACCAATGCTCCATGTGGCCTTGTGGTCTATTAAGCCAGAGGATTGTGCCACTGTCTTCCTGAGAGTGGAGGTGCTTGCTCTGGGGCAACTGTTTCAAACAGTTATGATTTAAAATATCTGCTCTTCACATTTACACATATCCATTTGAAAATCTATGGGGATTTTTTTTCAGTAGTATATCTAGGTTGTATACAGGATTGTTTGGGTGAATGCTTTTCTCATTCTTATTTGGTAATTTTGTATGGTTTTTTTTTTTTTTTTATGGTAGGTTTCTTGGTGTCAGTGTATGGTGTGTTTGGTTTTACCTGGGAGTGGTGATTTTGGATGTCAGTGATTCTGGATGTCAATTTGGAACTCTCTAGAAACACTGTAAGTCAATGTGGGGCTTAGTAGGAATATGCCATATTCATCACCAATCAAATTATGCATGTATTTGTCTTCCTCTAAAATCATAACCCCAACTTTCTGCATGGCTTATCTTGTCTATTTGTGTTCTTGGCTTGTGCTGAAGGTTGTTTTACCCTGTTGAGTCAAGTAGTCATGAAAAGAATATTAATTTCACTCTGTGCTTTTGGATGAATCTAAGTGATTTTGTGGGAGCAAAACACTTTTGTAATTTGAAGATAATTTAGGAACACTTTATTATGCTGAATCTCTTTTAAGTACTTTTCACAAATTTTTAATTGTCAGGAAAACACATGATATTGGCCATCTTATATTTTTAATGTGTACAGTTTAGCAGTGCTAAGTATATTTACATTGCTCTGCAACAAACCTCCAGAACTTTCTTTCTTTCTTTTTTTTTTTTTTTTTTTGAGGCAGTGTCTCACTCTATCACCCGGGCTAGAGTGCAGTGGCTCAATCTTGGCTCACTGCAAACTCCACCTCCTGGGTTCAAGTGATTCACCTGCCTAAGCCTCTCGAGTAGCTGGGATTACAGGCACCCACCACCATGCCTGGCTAATTTTTGTATTTTTAGTAGAGATGGGGTTTCACTATGTTGGCCAGGCTGGTCTCAACTTCCTGACCTCATGATCCACCTGCCACAGCCTCCCAATGTGCTGGGATTACAGGTGTGAGCCACTGTGCCCAGCCAAGAATTTTCACATCTTACAAAGCTGAAACTCAATACCCCTGAAGCATTAACTGCCCCTTTTACTCTCTCTCCACCTTATGAAATTACATCATTCTAATTTCTGTTTCTGTAAGTTTGACTACTTGAGATAGCTCATATAAATGGAATTATATGATCTTTGTCACTTTGTTTCTGGCATGTTTCACCGAATGTCCTAAAGTTTTATACTTTTTGTAGCACCTGCATAATTTGCTTTCAGAAGGTAGAGCCATATTCCATTGCATGCATATGCCACATCTTTATCGATTTATCTATCAAGAAACTTTTAAGTAGTTTTCATCTTTTGCGGGGGGGAATGTTATTACACACATGTGTGTGCAAATGTCCATTCCAGCTCCTGCTTTGCATACATAGATAGATACCCAGAAATGGAATTGCTGGATTGTAGGATAATTTCATTTTTCTGAGATAGCATCTTAACATTGTCACCCTGGCTAGAGTGCTGTGGTGTAATAATGGTCACTGCAGCCTTAACATCCTGGGCTGAAACAATCCTCACACCTCAGCCATCCCAGTAGCTGAAACTACAGAAACATGCCACCACACCTGGTTAATTTTTGTAGAGATGGGGTCTCACTATGTTGCTCAGGCTGGACTCAAACTCCTGAGCTCAAGTAATTATCCCACCTCAACCTCCCAAAGTGTTGAAATTACAGGCAGGAGCTGCCACACCAAGATGCATTTTATTTTTAATATTTTGAGAAATCTCCATCCAAATTTTCTTGGGGGCTGCATTATTCTCTCCCACCACAGTGCATGGGGGTTCTAAATGCTCTGCATCCTTGACAACATTGATTCCTTTTGTGCGTTGAATAGTGGCCATGCTAATGGGTGAGAGGTAAGAGCTCACTGGGATTGTGCTTTGCATTTCTCTCAAGTAATTTTGAGGCCAAGCACAGTGGCTCACACCTGTAATCCCAGCACTTTGGGAGGCTGAGGTGGATGGATCACAAGGTCAGGAGATCAGATCTCCCTGGTTAACACGGTGAACCCACGTCTTACTAAAATACAAAAAGATTAGTCACTGGTGGCAGGCACTGTAGTCCCAGTTACTTGGAGGCTGAGGCAGGAGAGTGTGTGAAACCCGGGAGGGGAGCTTTGCATTGAGCTGAGACTGCACACTGCACTCCAGCCCCGGGCCGTGGCATGGGCGATCAGGACAAAACGCCCACCAAAGATAAATAATAATAATTTTTATTGTCGCTAAAAGCTCTCGGGCCATTGAATAAGTGCCTGGAAAATGTCCTTTGAAATCTTGGTCATTTATTTGAAACTGAATACTCGCTTTTGGCTGTTGTGTTTCAGAAAACAAATCTTTGTTCCTTTATTTTCTTCTTCTTCTTTTTTTTTTTTTTTTTTTTTTTTTAGGCAGTCTTGCTCTGTTGCCCAGGCTGGAATCCAGTGGCATGATCTTGACTCATTGCAACCTCTGCATAAGGAAGAAATTGCTAGTGATCTGTTTGACAGGAGTTAACATCCATTCCATTATCTTTTTAGATGTATCATTGTCAAGTCGGAATGGCAATAAAAATGCCTTTCAACAGTTGAACATAACGTCCACCTTTGGCTCAGTCACACAGACAAAGACCCAGAATCTGTGTTTCTCAGCTGTGGTGCCTGTGCAAATGCTGGAACTCAAAGAATATTCAGTGGTAGACACACAGACACTGCCTAATAAAATTATGTATGATTAAGTTTAATATAAATGGAATTTATATTGTCATGTAAAATGTTACTTAATTTTATAAGAAAACTGAGTTGATTTTCTAAAGGTATTAAATGCAATTTTAATAGGAAACCATGAAATATGTGTGCACTTGGTGTATAAATGACTGAATTTTCGGCAATTCAGTAAAGGTCATGTCAGGCCTCTGAGCCCAAGCCTGTACGTATACATCCAGATGGCCTGAAGCAAGTGAAGAATCACAAAAGAATTGAAAATGGTCAGTTCCTGCCATAACTGATGACATTCCACTATTGTGATTTGTTCCTGCCCCTCCTTAACTGAGTGATTAACCTTGTGAAATTCCTTCTCCTGCCTCAGAACTTCCCCCACTGAGCACCTTGTGACCCCCACCCCTGCCCATAGGAGAAAAACCCCCTTTGACTGTCATTTTTCCACTACCCACCAAAATCCTATAAAATAGCCCCACCCCTATCTCCCTGTGCTGACTCTCTTTTCAGACCCAGCCCTCCTGCAGCCAGGTGAAATAAACAGCCTTGTTGCTCACACAAAGCCTATTTGGTGGTGTCTTTAGATGGACGTGTGTGAAGGTCACATATGACTGTGAGTCATTGTTGACGAAATGCTCCTACAGATAGCATATTGCACATGCGTTTTGATTTCTTCTTTTACCTGAGGTCAATTTTTCTTTTTCTTTTCTTTTTTTTTTTTTTGAGATACAGTTTTGCTCTTCTTGTCCAGGCTGGAGTGCAATGGCACAATCTCTGCTCACTGCAACCTCCACCTCCCGGTTCAAGAAATTCTCCTGCCTCAGCCTCCCGAGTAGCTAGGATTACAGGCATGTGCCACCACACCTGGCTAATCTTTTGTATTTTTAGTAAGGGATGAGACTACCCCTCATATCTTGTTATGCCCAATTTCTGCCTCCAAAGAAAGAAGAAGTTAAAACTAAAAGGCAGAAATGAAATCCACGGGCAGATAACCTGGCGCTGCACCCTGGGCCTAGTAGTTAAAGATCGACCCCTGACCTATAACCAGTTATGTTATCTATAGATTACAGACATTGTATAGAAATGCACTGTGAAAATCCCTATCTTGTTTTGTTCCGATCTAATTACCGGTGCATGCAGCCCCCAGTCACGTACCCCCTGCTTGCTCAATCGATCACAACCCTCTCACATGCACCCCCTTAGAGTTGTGAGCTCTTAAAAGGGACAGGAATTGCCCACTCGGGGGGCTCGGCTCTTGAGACAAGGAGTCTTGCCAATGCCTCCGCTCCGAATAAACCCCTTCCTTTCTTTTGTTTTTTTGAGACGGAGTCTCCGCTCTTCGCTAGGCTGGATGCAGTGGCCGTATCCTCAGCTCACTGGAAGCTCCTGCCTCCCGGGTTTACGCCATTCTCCTGTCTCAGGCCCCCTGCAGTAGCTGGGACTACAGGCGCCCGCCACCTCGCCCAGCTATATTTTTTGTACTTTTTAGTAGAGACGGGGTTTCACCGTGTTTGCCAGGATCTGGTCTCGATCTCCTGACCTCGGTGATCACCTGTCCCTCCGGCTCGCCCAAGGAGGTGCTGGGATTTGACGAGCGTGGAGCCAGCCGGGCTCGGCCCCCTTCCTTCGTTAACGGAAGTCTGAGAGTTTTTGTCTGCTTCGCTCATCCTGCTACATTATAAGGATGAGTGAGTTCTCTATATTGTCAGCTGGTCTCAAACTCCTGACCTGAGGGATTAGCCCCCACCTCGGCCCTCCCAAAGATTAACTGGGATTACCAGTGTGAGCCACCGTCCCAGCCCCCAATTTTTCTTATTTTTTATTCAAGATCAACATTTGACATAAAGAGATCTTGTACTTACATGTGCTCTTACATGAGTAAAATACACATTTTCAGGCAACCAGATATATGTATCAAACTAAACTTCAAGTATTCCAGTGATTACACATCACATAATAATTTTAAGTCAGTAATTCTATATTTGAAAGGGAAAGTATATAAGATTATTGATTGTCAGAAAGGTACATTAAAACTAGTTCAATCATATACATCCTTATTCTTACAGAAAATAAAAACAGTAAATACAAGGGGGGGGGGACGGGCGAAGAATTGAAGTACGAAATTGGGGGAACAGAAATGAGACGTAATCCTAGTAGCTTTGAGGGCTGAGCATAGTTCATTAACATTTGTTTTTAATGCGTATAAAAAATTAAAATATTCCTGATAAAACACATATTTAACAAAACCCATCGGCCGGCGCGCGTGCTCAGCCCTAATCCCACACTTTGGAGAGCCGAGAAGGCGCGGATCAGAGGTACAGGAGATCGAGGACTATCCCGCCAACACGGTGAAACCCCGTCTCCTACTAAAAAATGCAAGAAAAAACTAGCCCAGCGAGGAGGTGGCGGGCGCCTGTGTCCCCCAGCACTCAGGAGCTAGGCAGGAGAATGGCCTGAACCCGGGAGGCGGAAGCTTGCAGTGAGCTGAGATCCGGCCACTGCACTCCAGCCTGGGTGACAGAGCAAGACTCCGTCTCAAAAACAAAAAACAAAAAACAAAACCAAAAAAAACCCATCTATAACACTAGCTCTTAAGCTTGTACTTACATCTGGGGAGGAGGAAAAGAGGAAATAGTTTGTGGGCAAAAACAAGCATAGTTCTATAGTTACACAAATGTATTGGCTTTGTTATAATTTATTGAGCATTACATGAATACTTCATTGCAGAAGTATTTCTGTATGCATGTTATATATCAATAAAAATTTAAATATTACATATTTAATCCTAAATTAATATTTCAGAATAATAGCAATGTTTGTTTTTTGAAACAGAGTCTCACTCTGTTACCGGGCTGGAGTGCAGTGGCATGATCTCGGCTCACTGCAACCTCTACCTCCTGGGTTCAAGCAGTTCTCTTGCCTCAATCTTCCGAGTACCTGGGACTACAGGCGCACGCCAGCACACCTGGCTAATTTTTTTTTTTTTTTTTGAGACAGAGTCTCACTCTGTCACCCAGGCTGGAGTGCAGCGGGGCCATCTCAGCTGACTGCAAGCTCCGCCTCCCGGGTTCACACCACTCTCCAGCCTCAGCCTCCCAAGTAGTTGGGACTACAGGCGCCCACCACCATGCCCAGCTAATTTTCTGTATTTTTAGTAGAGACGGGGTTTCACCATGTAAGCCAGGATGGTCTCCATCTCCGATCTCATGATCCACTTGCCTTGGCCTCCCAAAGTGCTGGGATTACAGGCGTGATAGTCTTCCATTTTTTACCTCAGTTGAGTAAGCAGCATGGTTTTAGTTTTGGGGAATGCAATTTCTTACAGCAAAGTCCTTCCTCCATAATAATATTCACTACGGTCAGGCCATCTAGCACCGTGGGCTGCACATAGTGTGCACTCAGTGTTTGTAGAACTGGTTTGAATCAGGAAGAAAACAAGTAGCAGAGGTCAGTTTTGCAAAGGACAGAATGTAGACAATACAGGTAGGACTGAAAAGCCACAACTCAACAGCAAACAATTTTTACATTATTTTGAGAAATATTTTCAACTAGTTCTATGAAAGATGTTGGTTTACAGTAGACATTTGGGAGTGTGGTTGCATATTGTAATCACCTGGAGAGCTTTAAATCACACTGTTGCCTGGGTCTCACTCTAGAGATTCTGGCTTAATTATCCCCTTGCAACTTGGGTTTGGGAACTTTAAATACCACTATCCACAGGCACAGCAGGCTAACATGCATCCAAGGGAAAGAAGCATTGCTTCAGGGTCAGAAATGTATTGGTTGTGTGTGATTTCTATGTGTGCTCCAGGCATTTGCCCTATAGCTGCTCATAAAAGTGGGATCTTAGAAAACATCTTGGCCCTTCAAAGCATACTCTGCTGGTTGACTAAATTGCAGAGGGAAAAAATATCAGCAGCCCTATTGCTATGTCACTTGCCTTCGGAGCAAAAGTTGTTTCAGGAACAGTAATTTGACTTAGTCTATATTAAAAATCATAAATAGTCAACAAATTAAAAAAATACAAAGAGTTTGCAGATATGATGAGTGCATTATAGGTGTTTTCAAATTTCTCCTATGATAAATTAAAAATATAATGTTGGGCATTAATTTCCTAAACCCAATGCTCAGCAATTTTCTCAAATTGTTTCCAGCTTTTCCAAGACACTTCAGAACCATTCCCTGGAATGAATTATTTCCAATGGTGAAGAGTAAGGGGTGGATGGCATGAGATTCTCAAAAAAACAAAAACAAAAACAAAAACAAAAACAAACAAAAAAAACTTGCTTCTACTTCAGAAGTGTCACTCTTCAGCCCCTTGAAGGACCAGGAAACCTGGCTGAGTAGTGTGGTCTATGGAGGTGCGTGGGCTTCAGAGTCAGGCTAACATTGATCCTGAGTCCCAGCCAGCTGCTTAGTAACTGTGGGATAGTTATATAAGACACATCTGCAAGAAAAGTAATGATAAAATTGATTGCAAAAACAGCAATTTGAAAAATTTCTTATTCATGTCCTTGGAAATGGCTTTTATAGTCGTCCCTATCCAGAGACAGATTCTGTTTCCCAAACCTTGAATCTCTCTTGACTTATTTGCACTGGCACAGTGTGCCAGTTTGGGCCCCAGGTTTAAAGGCCCTAAATGCTTCTGTTATCTTTTTCAGAATTCTTCCATCTTTATGACAACAATCCCATTTTAGCTTTCTGGAGGATAAAATAGCATGCTGGGAAAAGCCAAAGTGCCTCAGTTTACAGATAGTTCACTCCCAGAAGCAGAGCCACCTAATTCACCAGCAGCTGACCACTCACACCTGTAGGAGCCAAACTGAACCCAGAAGAATGGTCCAGCTGAGCCCAGCCTAAATTTCTAAACAGCTCAATGCTGAGCTAGTATGTTTTGGGATTGTTTGTTATGCAGTTATGGCTTAGTATTATATATACCCATTAAAGACAGGATTCCAGGATGCCAGGACAGATTGATTACAAATAACCTGCAAATGCTTGGCACCCTCTAAGTATTGATTTTCTTTTTTCCTTTATTTAAAGTTAAATTTGTTGTAAGATGGTATTTACTTACACAGAAGTGAGGCAGGAGAATAGGGTCTGGAGGCAGGGAACTTAAGGCCAATTCATGCTGACTTCCTAAAAGTAAAAACACCAAGGTCTGGGAGCAAGGAACCTAATGCCAATTAACGTGAACTTCCTACATGTAAACCAAAAGGAGAAACCTCATCTACACCCGAGTAGCAAA